CCCCTTTGAAATGTACAACAGCTGCAGGCTTCAAAGGGAGAGGCGCAATGGCATAGCGAGCGCCCCCCTTATCGACTAATCGATGGAAATTCCATCGACTACTCAATTAGCTGATTAATTGAAATTTAACATCCCTATTTTTACAAGGCCCCCTAGCCATAGCAGGATATTTCTTCTCCTCCCCCACGACCAGCTAGGGGGCAGCCCCATCATTCCTACCCTCACCCTCATTGCCCACCCGCCCAAAGGGGGACCCACCCATCCTGACTACCCCACTGTCCTGAAGTTCCTTCCATAGGAACCTGCAGGGCTCATCCCTTCCCTTCGGCCGACAGCCCCAACTGTGCTGGACCACTCCCCTTTATATCAGTGTCCCAGCTGGAGCATGCCCAGCAGAGCTAAAAGGAAAGGGCCTTCCCGGCCCACTGGCAAGGATTAACCCCTTCTGATCCAGTACCATGCTGGCACATCTCAGCACAGCATGGATGTGTTCATTGGCTTCTCAACCACAGCGATGCTGTAGATAAAGCTGTACGTGTCTTGCACATCTAGGTGGAGTAAAATTTCCCCTTCTTCTGTCTATGGATATTTTTTATCTCCACGCATTAACTAGTGGTGTGTGTACTGTCTCCCCTTCAGGGTGTCTGGCGGGGAGTTATTTGACCGAATTTTGGAACGAGGTGTTTATACTGAGAAAGATGCAAGTGTGGTGATCCGACAGGTCCTGGCAGCAGTGAAATACCTCCATGAGAATGGAATCGTTCACCGCGATTTAAAGGTAGGTAAATATTGCGCTCCTTGGAAACAGCACTGCCCTGTGAAATGAGCAATGCCTGCAATGCAGCACTGACGGGTTCACTGGGGTACACCGGGAAATCCTGCAAAAGCAAGCTAGCTTTTTAAGATCACGTCACAACCACTATCATCCCTAAGGATTGACCCTGGAACTTTCATCATGAAAAGCTCACAAGGCTCTTATGAAAGGAGTGGTGATAATAGGAGCAGGTTGCAACAAACACACCTATCCATCGCGTTGTGCTCAGTGAGTGTTAACTTGACTCCTAAATTCCACAGAGCCAGCGTTTGCACTCGATACTGCAGTGACTTTCGAGAGGTTTTAGTCTCTGAGTCATCCTGCTGTTGCTTCTGCTGGCCTAGAAGTCAGACAGCTTCTGGAAACGACAAGTGAATTATAGCCAGGTCTACGTGACATGAGAAAGTTGACCTAAGATACACGACTCCAGCTAGGAGAATGGCATAGGTGGAGTCAACGTACCTTAAGTTGAATTTCTGCAGTGTCCCCATTGCGGGAAGTTAACGGGAGAAACTCTCCCATTGACTTTCCTAACTCCTTGCAACCCTGTGGAGTAGCAGCGTTCACATAGGTGCCATCGGCGGTTGATTTAGCAGGTCCTTGCTAGACTCACTAACTCAAACCCCAGAAGATTGATCTCAGGGTAAGTGAAGACAAGCCCTATGTTTACAACCCAATTAACTTCAGGGCTGTTTTGCCTTTAACTCCAATGGCTCTTTGGCCTTTATTTTAATTTTTGTGCATGAACTGAAGAAAAAAAAGGAACCTATCATTTGTAGATTATAGTTCCCCCTCTTTGATTGTCAGTGTGGCATTTAAAATCTGACCATTTCTTACCGACAGCCTGAAAACCTGCTTTACCTGACTCCCGAGGAAAACTCCAAAATCATGATCACAGACTTTGGTCTGTCTAAAATGGAGCAGAATGGCATCATGTCCACAGCTTGTGGGACTCCAGGATATGTTGGTGAGTAAAGGGCCTGGGAGGGCTTTTCCTTGATGACCGACAGGACACAGGCCCTCATATGCCTCTTATTCACTTTCCAGAAGAAAGCAAAGAAGTAACATGCTTAGGCATATTGTAACATGCTAATAAAAATACACTGTAAGGGCTGCAGGCGAATCAGATTAGGGACATAGTTTTTAAGGGTGGCAAAATCTCAGCAGGCTTGAAAAGGGAAAGAAGGTGTCCAACACACATTTAAAAAAATTAGAGTCGAATCTTGAAGTTATTCAAGAATTCACTGTATACTTAAGAAAATCATTGAAAGCAATGAGATTTTGTTAACTGAAATCAACGGGAGTTTTGCTTGAATCAGGATTTCGGGATTTGGCCTAGCAGGTAATATTTTGGAGGCATTCCCTTGTGTCTGGTTCGCAGAAGATGTCTGAGAGACCACCTGACCTCATGGCTTGAGAGCGCCAGTATTTCTGCAAGCTAACCCACCTCTAAATGACATTCGAGCCTTGTGCAAGTCACTGCTCCTTCCCTTGTCTGATTCCCCATTTGTAGAATGGATTTACTTTAGGTCTAACATCTAGTGGTAGGAAGCCCATTCTATGCTCTGGACCTTTCGCCCATAACCTGAAAATCACAAAATAAACAAGTTAATATAATGACCCAACACAGGGGTAGCTGTATTTGTCTGTGTCCACAAAAATATTGAGGAGTCGCATGGCATCTTAAAGACTAACAGATTTATTTGTGAGCAAAAACCCACTTCGTAAGACTCAGGGCCCATATATCACACAGGGCGGTGTTACAACACTTTCATGTCTGGATAGCATTCTGAAGCCATAAAATTCTATGTAAGAACAAGCAGGTCATGGGTTGAATCACAGAAGTTCCTTTAGGGTTGTCCCGTAATGTGCTGATCATGTGACAGGTCTGCCTTCCTGCCCTCTGGGGCTCTACACCACTTTGTCCTGCTGGAACACATTCTCTGGTCTCCCCCAGTCAAGGCACAGAGTTGGGGTGACCACCCCCCTGCAGAGCAATGCAGACACTGAGCCAGTTCAGCTCTGGGAGGGTTCAGCTCTAAGAGCTCAGCAGCACCCAGGAAACCAATCCCCAGAAAGGACCATCACCCCCAATTAAATCCACCCTACCCCATGTAAAAGTTTTACATGGAGAAAACTTCAAAGGAAGTCAGCCCCCTTTATCAGTCCAAGAGGGATATGCACAGTGGTTGTTCCCCTCTCCCCAGGAAACAATTATTTACACTGAGCTTGATAATAAACAAAAGGGTTTTATTAAGTACAAAAAATATGATTTAAGTGCTTGCAAGTGAAAACTGTCAAATCAAAGTAAGTTACAAAATTAAAATGAACAAAAAAACCCTCAGCTAGTTCTAATCCACTAAGAAACTTGTTACATGAAAATTCTTACCTTAAACAGCTGGTCTTATCTCAGGTGAAGAGCTTCTAGTCAGAGTCCACCTTTACTGTGACCCGGGTCTACAGCTTCTTCAAAGTTCTTTGTATCCCCTTAGGGTAGGCCAGGCAGTTTCAAAGGCCAACTGAAGAGGAAGGCTGATTTTTTCCCATTGCATAAATAAACTTACCCCAGGGCAGGAATTCTTTGTTCAGCACCCCTCATCTCCATGGAAAAATACCAGGTTCAAGAGGGATTCCAGTACCAGGGGCATGGTCACATGTCTTTCCAGGACTAACCACAGTTTGGGTATACAGGACAAACCAGACTATTCACATGTCATTGATTCGATGACTGAGCCATTCGTTTCTGGGGCATCAGTAATGGCCCTCAATAACACATTTAGAATTATAAATAGATCCACACTTTGTACTTCTAACTTCACATACAAGAATGATTCATGCATAAAAGTAGAATGTATACATTCAGCAGCTTGTAACTGTAAAATTGATAAGTTACATGACCTGCTTTGTATAAAGCATCTTCGAGTTATACATATTCATATCCATAAGCCAATTTTCATAAAGCATGGGGCAACAACCATTGAAAAATGGACAATGTTAATTCTCCATCACTTTCAGTCTATAAATCAACACTGGAAGGTTTTCTAAAAAGAAGGAGGCTACAGCTACACCAGAAGTTATAGACTTGATGACACATTACTGAGTGAGCTTCTCTGGCCTTTGTTATGCAGGTCAGACTAGATTATCATAATGTTCTTTCTGGCTTCAAAAATCTATGAGTTACTCATCCTGCCTCTCTGCTGCTTTGGATTTGTTGGGTGGCAAATGCACAGACATCTATGTGTTTCTATCCACAATCATTCAGGTCAGGTCTACACTGGAAGAGAAAACTGATGCAAAATACGCAACTCCAGCTACGTGAATTGCGTAGCTGGAGTCGACGTGCCTTGCAATGATTTTCTGGGGCAGCCCGACAGCAGGAGGTCAACAGGAGAAACTCTCCCATCAACTTCCCTTACACTTTGTGACAGCAAGGAGTATCATGGTCAATGGGGGCACGGTCAGCATTCGATTTAGAGGGTCTTTACTAGACCCACTAAATCGAACCCCAGAAGATTGATCGCTGGAGCATCGATCCTCCAGTAGGTGGAGACATGGCCTAACCCCTAAAAGCCTGGCACACCAGGTTTATGATTGTTCAATGTAAAGTCATTTGTTGTCCTGAAATGGTTTATATTCCCTACAACTTTGATTTGCTTTTGATTTCCTGTAGCTCCCGAGGTCCTAGCACAGAAACCATACAGCAAAGCTGTCGATTGCTGGTCGATAGGCGTCATTACTTATATCCTGTGAGTATGAACCAACAACACCTTTGCTTTTTGACAGATGCTCAGGATTCTTCATTGCTGCGGCCCCTTGTGCGGCACCACATATGCTTGTGCAAAGTCCGCCCTGGGCATTATTCCTTCAGTAGCATAAAATTATCAGGCATCCTCCTTCGCTGTGCTTTCTAGGTTCAGTTTCATCTCATCAGCTGCACACCCACTGGGGTTTTGTCCTGCCATTGCCACACTGGGGCTTTCAACCTTTTTCTGAATCGTTACCCTCAAGCCGTGCTGCATGGTGAGGGTTAATAGTGCATTCTCCTCCCTTCATCCCTTATCCCTGTGAGACACGCCAGTTGCCCCCAGTAGAGTTCAAAATGCTTGTGCATGCCAAGAGAGAGGCGCTAATCAGCTCCTTGCTGTTCTGCTCCAGGCTGTGTGGATACCCTCCCTTCTACGAAGAGACAGAATCCAAACTGTTCGAAAAGATTAAAGAAGGCTACTACGAGTTTGAGTCTCCATTTTGGGATGATATCTCGGAGTCAGGTACCTCTCATCCACTGCAGAACACCTTACTAGCACTCTGTCCCCTCTCTGGCATGCAACATCGGCCATCTAGAACTCTCCTGATCATGTAGTGGCTGAGCTCTACCAGGGAACAAGAGGGAAGGAGAGTTTAGAGAAGCACATCCTAGAACATAAGAACAGCCATATTGGGTCAGACCAACAGTGTCCTGTCTGCTGACAGTGGCCAATATCAGATGCCCCAGAGGGAGGGAACACAACAGGTAATCCTCCTGTCTCCCACTTCCACACCATTCCTACCCATCCTGGCTAATAGCCATTGATGGACCTAACCTCCATGAATCTATCTAGCTCTTTTTTGAACCCTGATAAAGTTCTAGCCTTCACGCATCCTCTGGCAAGGAGTTCCACAGGTTGACAGAGTGCTGAGTGAAGAAAAACTTCCTTTTGTTTATTTTAAACCTGCTGCCTATTAATTTCATTTGGTGACCCCTAATTCTTATATTGTGGGAATAAGGAAATACCTTTTCCTTATTCACTTTTTCCACACCACTCATGATTGTATAGACTTTTATCATATCCCCCCTCAGTATCCTCTTTTCTAAGCTGAAAAGTCCCCGTCTTTTTAATCTCTCTTCATATGGGACCCATTCCAAACCCCTCATCATTTTTGTTGCCCCTTTTCGGAACCTTTCTATTTGTCTCATTCTATTTGCCACAGCAAGTTGTTTTCTTTGCTTCCTGGCCACCGTAAGGGTTTCCACACACCTTTCTCTGAAGCAGGGCTGGGTAGTAAGTGGCCCGTGGGCTGGATGTGGCTCATCAGGGTTAGCTCTGGCTGGCTGCCAGACACTTTGTTTATCTGAATGTCCGCAGGCAAGGCCGCTCACAGCCCCCATTGGCTGTGGTTCACTGCTCCGGGAATGGGAGCTGTAGGAAGCGGTGATTCAGCCTATGGGCTGCTTATTGCACACCCCAGCTCTGAAGCGTCTAGGTCTGGCCAGGGTCAGAGATGGGAGACTGAACCGGGGTTGCCACAGGTCTGATCCACTCTGACAATGCTATATTTTAGCAATAAAGCTTGACCCATCTTCAGTTAATATGTTCCCCTAAGCAAGCTATCTCCCCTGAGCATACATCCATTTTACCTTGGGGAGGGTGTTACAAGAGTGTGGGTTTAAACATGGAACATTAGACACGTAAGCAGCATGCTGGACCTGCCAGAGTTTGCTGGGTCAGCTGTAGGATTGTTTCTTGTAAGTGCTAAGACCTGATCCTGTCTCTCTGATTTCCCCACTAACAGCCAAGGATTTCATCTGCCACTTACTGGAGAAGGATCCAAACGAGAGGTTCACGTGCGAGAAAGCTTTGAGACACCCCTGGTGAGAGCAACATGTCACCTACTATCGTAACATTGCTACCTGGTAGCAAATGGAATTCATCAGCCTCGTCATTTAACCCTAGAATGCTCTCTGTAGCCTATGGAACGGTGATGTCTTACTAATCTCTAGTGTTTTCTTTGCAATCTGATGGGAAATGTTGTCTTGGTTCTCTCTTGTGCCGAAAGAAAGTGATAATTAAATTGGCTATTTGTGCACAGTTCGCCTTCAAGATCAGAGAGAAACAATCCCCCTCTGGTTAGGGATGTAAAAGGTTAACCCCTGCTTACCACTTACCTGGAGGGCTGGGTATGAGGAACCCTCCCTCCCACTGCAGCCCGGCTGGCCAAACCAAGCTTCCTCCCCCACAACAGGCTGATCAGATCCCAGCTGCACCATTAACCCGTTAAACAATTGCAATTATATTGTTTAACCAGTTAACTCGTTAAATGGATATTTACTTCCCTAACTCTGCTATTTCTTCAACTCTGAAGTGTGTGTTTGTATTATGCTGTGTTGCTGTTTTTCCTTTGGGTTTAATTACTCTTGATTGATTGTACCAAGCCGTTAGCTGCCTCCAGAATGCGGAATGCCTCTCAAATGCCATCTGCCTACGAGCCTGTTTCTTGTCTCCCCATCTGCAGGATTGATGGAAATACAGCCCTTCACCGTGATATATACCCATCTGTCAGTGCTCAGATCCAGAAAAACTTTGCAAAGAGCAAATGGAGGGTAGGTTGTTTGTTGTTGGGAGCTAGAACCATTTCCAAATCACATGCCAGTGGCTACCATGTAGCCATGAGTGCACCTTAAACTGCTTGGATGAGCACCTCAACCTTGGACCCCTTCTCCCAGAAATCAGTGTGGATATTTTACTTGATTATATTATGAACTACTATTCGGTGGTAGGATCGAGAGGTCTCAGCTGAAAGTGGAGCCTCTCTATAGTGCTGAAATTGATACAAACACAAGATCCCACAGAGCTTAAAATCATAGAACCAGAAGGGACCTCGAGAGGTCATCAACATAAAAGCAGCCAGACTGGGTCAGACCAAAGGTCCATCCAACCCAGTGTCCTGTCTGCCGACAGTGGCCAATGACAGGTGCCCCAGAGGGAGTGAATACAACAGGGAATCATCAAGCAGTCCCTCTCCTGTCACCCATTCCCAGCCTCTGACAGAGGCTAGGGACACCATTCCTACCCATCCTGGCTAATAGCCATCGATGGACCTAACCTCCATGAATTTATCTAGTTCTTTCTTGAACCCTGTTAAAGTCCTGGTCTTCACAATGTCCCCTGGCAAGGAGTTCCACAGGCCAACCATGCGCTGTGTAAAGAAAAACTTCCTTTTGTTTGTTTTCAGCCTGCTGCCTGTTAATTTCATTTGGTGACCCCTAGTTCTTCTGTTACGGGAACAAGTAAATAACTTTGCCTTATTCACTTTTTCCACACCAGTCATGATGTTATAGACCTCTATCATATCCTCCCAGAGTCTCTCCTTTTCTAAGTACAAGTCTTTTCAACCTCTCTTCATATGGGACCCTGTTCCAAACCCCTAACCATTTTTGTTGCCCTTTTCTAAACCTTTTCCAATGCCAATATATCAAGTCCTGCCCTCTGCCCTCACGGCAGGACCAAGCACCATCCCTGATAGATGTCTGTCTAACCTGGACCCTAGGGTGAGAAGAGGGAGGATTATAGGCTCCTCTTTACTCATGAGGAGCAGAGGTACCCAGAGACTGCACTTTGCTTGCGGGTATTGAATGTAGGTTTCCTGCGTCTTACTGCCACTCTGGCTATTCTTGTGAGATCGGCGCTGCTGCCCGGTGGCAGCGAGTTTAGGAGAACAGCCTCTTCCGTGGCATTTTAGTTACTTTGTTCCAAATTTGGGTTCATGCTTGAGCAGACGCTTGCAGCCCTGACCTGCCTGTGAGCAAGAGCAGCCTGTTCCCCAGCTGCCTGATCAAAGAGGCGGCGGGTGAAATTCTCCTCTGCATGTTCTCATGCCAGGGTTGAACATGGCCCATCTGGGCAATGCAGCAACGTAATTGTAATAACTCCCCATGAAAGATCTTTAGTCCATTCACACTGCAGCATCCAGGGAGCTTGCAAGATGGTCACGGTTGTTTTATGTCTCCTCTCGCTCAGCAAGCCTTCAATGCTGCAGCCGTTGTGCGCCACATGAAGAAACTCCACATGAACTGCCACGCACGGGCTGACACCGATCTTCCGGTCATCCAAGTGTCAGAAGGATCCAGACTCAACAGCCCGGAGGTCAGCAGCCAAGAGGCGCCCAGTCAAGACAAGAAGATGCTCATCCCCACATTAGCGTGTCAAATGCCTCCCAGCCAGCTTGACCAAAACACCCGGATGGCACAGAGCAAGTCACTAGATCATTTGGTTAATGGGTCACTGCCTATCAACCAGTGCTTGATCCTGCCGGTCAATCAGAGCTCTCCAACTAGAACTTCTTGCGGGTGCAGTTCAGCCTGCGGTGGGCACGAGAAAGTGAAGTCGGTCTTCTGTTCCGAGTCAGTGCTACTTAAAAAAGCTGCCAAAACCCAGTAGGTAGCCACGTTGTCACTTCTAACTTCTGAGACAGGTTTATCTTCACAGCACAGTTCCTGCAACCAGCTGGCACTGGGCTTTCTAGAAAGGTGGCGGGTGCATTAGGTTGCACGCACCAGGTGTGGGTGGGAAAGAGGGGAAGGTGGGGAGGGCAGAGGAAAATTTGCAAAGTGGCTGGATAGTTGTGGCCAGCCAAACCTCCTCCCACTCTCTTGGAGCACAGCCTTGGACATCAAGTTGAGACACACTGGTGACATGGCAGATCTTACCATGTTCCAGAGAGCTTCCGTCTCCATCATCCTCAATCTGGTGCTTTTCCATAGTTTGGAAGGACCTATGGGTTTGGGGTTTGTTTGTTTGTTGCATTTGCAAAAAATACTGGTCCTGCTTCTCAGCTGGCATTAATCAGCCAAGCTACACCAGCTGAGTAGCTGGCCCACTATTTATATTTAAAAATAGTTATTTCTTCTCCGTGGAAGAAAGTACCTGGATGTTGCTCTTCACTTTCTGCATTTTCTCTCTTCCCACCCACCCAACCAGTCACTTCAAATCAGAGGTCATCGTTCCAGTGAAAACCAGTAACCATTCGCACCGTGGTACTGGGCAAACTGGTGTGTGCTTGGTCATGTGATTGGCAGGTCACCCGTTTGAGCCAACACATCTGTTACGGTAAGTGCAGCGAGATCAAAATGACTCAGGCTTTAGCAGGAGGAAGCAAAAAGAGTCTGGATCATAAAGAGTTTTCTGGAGTAAGTTGTAATCCTGGTTGAACGGCATGGTGGCTGCAAGAGTCTGACACACTGAAGCATCTTTCAACTTCTCTTTAGACCAGTTGTGTTAATACAGGGGCCTGACTGATGCCCACTGGAGTTGCTCACATCCCGTTGCATCAGAATAGGGCTCTGTCCTGCAGAAGAGACGTAGAACGTAGCCCTGCCATCCTGAACTATGCACAAGCGGGAGTTCTTTAACTCAGAGCAAAAGCAAACCGGACAGGTCTGTGAACTGGCTAAGGGGCCTTTCCTCAGCCAGTAGTGACAGTCAGCTGTTGCCACATGACCGCTCCACGGTGGCCTATCTAAAATGCGATGGAGGGAATCTAGGTCAACTCAGAGGAGGTAAATGTCCACCTCCCACAAACCTCTAGCCCAGTTGGCCCTTGCTGGCTCCGATCTGAGCATTCTCAGCAGGCATCAAGGACTGATTGGGCCAAGGGCTTGGAGGACTTTCCCCTCCTTAGCTGGGGTCCAGCCAGGTGAGGTCTAAGTCACGATGCGGCCCCGCAGCCTGTGGAACCCTGCTTTGGATTAGAACGTGGTCACTTGTCAGGGATACAGGAATGTCCACGTGTGCGTGGAGGTGGCTTTCTTGCCTGCTGAGGAGATGAATCATGGAATAGTCAAGCTGATGTTTGCTCTGCTGTGAGCAAGCACTAGGAAGTGTGACTATGACACTGCGCATGAAGGAAAGCGTTCCCCAAGTAAAAGGGAGAGCGTAAGTCAGCTCAGCTCTCCTCCCAAGTTCAGAAGTCAGCCGCACATTATATTATGGTTCCAGTTTTTATATCAAGAGTGAACAGATGATACTTGCACAAATACTAAGTGTTACAGGTGGCTTTAAGCACCTCAGTAGGAGGCGTTATCAACCTATTGGCGTCTATGTCAATTTATAGCAGCTGGAATAAATTGCCCAGGGAGGCTGTGGAATCTACATCATTGGAGATTTTTAAGAGCAGGTTAGGCAGACACCTGTCAGGGATGGTCCAGATCAGTAATGGGCAGCTGAGGCTAGTGAGTAGGCTGCATGAGCGGCCCTCCTTCATCTCAGTGGGCTGCAAGATTGTCCTAACCAAGGTAGTCTCCAGAGATCGAGTAGTTTTGCTCCCTGCGCTTGCCTCCCTAGAATTTGCAAGGGGTGCCAATGGAACCAGAGCAGCACTTTGGCACGCGCAATCTTGTGTGCAATCCGCACGCACCTCCTGTCACATGCCCTGGCTTGAAGTGCCTGTCACTTTAGGAACACCGGTAGGGAAAAAAACAACATGGATGGAAACCAGGAGAATCTGGCAACCCAGCACATGGGCGAAGGTAAACAAAATGTCTTGCATGCCACACCTAGCACCCCAGTGGGCTGCATGTGGGTTGTGGGCCACAGGTTGCCAACCGCTGTTCTAGATGGTGCTTGGCCAGGCCGCAAGGGCAGGGGACTGGACTTGATGACCTCTCGAGGTCCCTTCCCATTCTGTGAGTAATCCCTTATTAATCCTTTCTCAAGTAGGCTGTGTCTAGACTGCAGGGTTTTTTTGAAAAAAGTAGCCTTTTTTTGAAAAAACTTCCCCTGCGTCTAGACTACAGCCACGTTCTTTCGAAATTAAATCGAAAGAACGTGGCTTTTCTTTCGACGGTGGTACTCCTCATTTCACGAGGAAGAACGCCTTTTTTTGAAAGTGCTCGTTCGAAAAAAGGTGTTCTTGAATGCAAACAGGGCTTTTTCGAAAGAGAGCATCCAGACTCACTCGCTGCTTTCTTTCAAAAAAGCGGCTTGCTTTTTCAAAAGTACTGCTTGCAGTCTAGACACTCTGTTTTGAAAGAGGCTTTTTCGAAAGAGGCTTGCAGTCTAGATGTAGCCGTACAGATCAGCGGGGTCAAGATGGCCCTGGTGCTGTTTGTGAAAGGAATGTGTGCTAAAGGAAGTCTCCACAAACAATTCCAGCCGTGACACTGAATTTTCTTCCATTCCAGAAGGGCTGGTTCATGCATTTCTGCGCTTCAAAGCCAGACAGCAATAGCACAAACAAGAGGAGAGGAGACTGATTCCTGGCAGCCGCAGACGGAGAGCTTTTTTCTCAGAGGAGAGTGGCCGTTTATCAGAGAGCTGCACGCTTTCACTCCTAAGAAATCCTTCAAAGCAACAACCTTGAAGAGCACCTGGCTTCTTAGAACAGGGAGCAGTTGTTTTAGACAAGGGAGGTGTACGGGCATGAGGCTTCTGCTAGCACCTTCCATCTACATGACACATGTATCATTGCATAAGGCTGTATCTTGCTTCTTTGTCTCTATTGTATAGTTGTTCAATGCGGAAGACAGGATAATTCTTTTAATGCAAAGCCAGATGGTGTTTATTTAGTCATGGGCATCCCCACAGCTTTTACAGCCTATGCCTCTCTCTCCTAGAATTTCTTCTCCCTTCCAAGCTTCAGCATGTTTAAATCCAGTGTCAATTTCCTGTCCTGGCTGTGACGTTTTCCTTTAAGCTGTGAAAGGAGAGAACCTGCTACCACCCCCTGTTGTCTGAGGATAATCCAAGAGAGGTCTGAATTCCCTGCTTCTGAGTCTGTAATTGTGGAATAAACCCTGTGCTTAAGAAAGCTGACTTTTATTTTGTAAAGTGAGCCTTGGCTAGACATGAAAGTGATCTCTTACATCCCCCTAGGCAAATTCCCACCACAAATGCACAGTTGTTCCCTACTATCTTCTGCCTGCAATGTATTGTGTTGAAAATATGCATGGGGTAACAAAGTCAAACCGGATGGTGTTTAACTCCACCTTGGAGCACCACTGCTTTTTCATGTGTGTAAATACGACTCTTATTATTTTTACTCCATTATCCACTCATAAAAACATAAGAACAGCCATACTGGGTCAGACCAAAGGTCCATCTAGCCCAGTATCCTGTCTGCCAACAGTGGCCAGCACCAGGTGCCCCAGAGAGGGTGGACTGAAGACAATGATCAAGCGATTTGTCTCCTGCCATCCCTCTCCAGCCTCTGACAAACAGAGGCCAAGGACATCATTTTATCCCCTGGCTAATAGCCTTTTATGGAACTAACCTCCATGAATTTATCCAGCTTCTCTTTAAACTCTATTATAGTCCTAGCCTTCACAGGCTCCTCTGGCAAGGAGTTCCACAGGTTGACAACACGCTGTGTGAAGAAGAACTTCCTTTTATTAGTTTTAAACCTGCTACCCATTAATTTCATTTGGTGTCCTCTAGTTCTTCTATTATGGGAACTAATAAATAACTTTTCTTTATCAGCCCTCTCCACACCACTCATGATTTTATAGACCTCTATCATATCCCCCCTCAGTCTCCTCTTTTCTAAACTGAAAAGTCCCAGTCTCTTTAGCCTCTCCTAAGAATGGTCTGAAATCTTGCTTGGCCTTCGTCCTGCCCCTCCTGTGACAAAATTGCAATATTCCTGAAACAAAGCTGCGGGTTGAGGTTTTTGTTCAAAAGATGAAATCTGGGTTCTGAAAGGAATACGCTTCCCATCTGGTTTGCAAACCTCATGCAAGAAATAACTCCCTTCAAAAGGCTTGTATTTTATTAGTTATTGGAGTGAGATCTCCCGCTTTCCCAGAGTCACACTAGGTGAACATACGAACGTGCAGACTGGGTCAGACAAAAGTCCATCTAGCCCAGTATCCTGTCCTCTGACAGTGGCCAATGTCAGATGCCCCAGATGCCTTCAGCCAAGCCAGGTAACATTCATTCTGTCTAAGGGAGCTTGTTCTTCTTGGCTCCATGATGGCTATTTTCTAAAGGCACAGCAGTTCTATTAGCCAAAGCAAAAATATTGAGAACAAGACAATTCTGCAAGACAGGAGAGGGGACTGAATACTGTCCGTCATTGTCTGAACTTTAGATGGGAAATGCAAGTACATGACGAATGGAGCCCCAGCAGCTCGTCCATTAGCAGATGATGTAGTATGACATTTTTTTGTGGATATCATCCCTGATCTTTTTCACCTTCTCCTCCAGGCCTGCGAGGTTGGCTGACTTGATGATTAATGCATTGTTGCTTTCCCGAATTTCCATTTCCATAGCTGAGGAGAGAGGCAGCTGCGGTTAGGGCAAGATAGTCCAGGAAAATGACATTCTACCCTAAGGCCCTGGGTTTCAAACTTTTTTTCCTCATGACCCAGTTGAAGAAAATTGTCAATGCCCAACAGAGCTATATCTTTTGACTAGAGTGAGGGCAATGGGGTGGGGACAGGATGGGGTTGGTGTGTGGGGGGGAGAGGGCTCCATCTGAGTGTGCAGGCTCTGGGGGGAGGGATAGGATGAGGGGTTTGGAGTATAATAAGAGGTTCTAGGCTGGGAGGCAGGGCAGAGGGGTTCAGGGTGTGAGGGGGAGCTCTGGGTGGAGGTGGGGGTCAGAGCAGGCTCTGGGGTGGGATGTTTGTTGTATAGAAAGGGGCTCTGGGTGTGGGGGGTCGCTGCTCAGGGTTTGGGTTTCGGCTTTCCTCTGCCAGCTCCCAGGTAGCCGAGCAGCAAGGGTGCTAAGACAGCTTCCTGCCTGTCCTGAGACTGCGGGCGGCACTGCACCCTGGAAGTGGCCAGCAGCAGGCCTGGTTCCTAGGCAGAGGTGCACCATTAGCGCTGCGCGCTGCTTTCGGCCCCCAGAGCCAATACCCAGGGTGGAGGCAGGACAGGGAGCCCTAACCAGGCCCGCCTAGGAGCCGGGCCCACTGCTGGCCGCTTCTGTGGCACAACGGGGTCTGCAGTGCCAGGACAGGGAGGAAGCCTGTCTTGCACCTTTGCTGGTCACCTCATCAACCTACAGCCGGGTGACCCAGTGTCTGACATCCCGCGACCCAGTGTGCAGACCCATCGTTTGAAAACCGGGGCCCGAAGTCATTCATCGCCCCTCTGAAAATCCCCAATGTAAGTCAGCAGAGCACGGTCAGCATCCAACGGAACAGCCAAACGCACTAGCTGTGCCTAGGACACACCCAAACCCAGTCAGTGAGTGCATCCGAAAGCCACCCCTCCGCTGTCTGGGACTCCCCAAAACATCTCAGTCACTTAACCCGCCCTCCTCCCCCTGCCCCGCACAAGGAAGCTGCTCCAGACAGTGACCATTGAAGTCAATGGCAGTTCTGTCACTGACGTCAATGGGAGCAGAAACAAGCCCAGCCCTGCGTGTGTCGGAAAGGAAATTGCACGCTGGCCTATTTAGCAACGTCAAGACTCCTTGCTGAGTTCCACAGCAGGAAGCACCTCGCACCAACAATAAGCAGCAGCACCCTCTCCAGTCTCTGCCTCGGAGAGGCACCTTCGATGAATGGTGTTCCCAAGAGCCACTGCTTTCTCACGGAAGGCGGTGCCAAAGCTCCGGCTGGTAACTACTTGGGCTCAGGGCCATTCTTGAATGGTTGAAGCCTCATAGCCAGGGCACTAAAACTGCCCCCTGGCTGGCACCCAAAGCACGCGGAATGAGGCTCTGGGGAGCTTGAACTGGAAATGCATGCATGGAGCATCAGCATAGCAGAGGTGAAACAGAGGCACAGACAGAAGGTCTGTCGGGTTTTGAGTGGCACAGAGGCGTCGGAGTGTTGGCTTTTGCTCTCCAGCTGCAACGCTCCCAAAATGTCCACGCTACTGGCGTGGTGGGTGAAGTGACAGCAGGGCCCAAAGTTGTCCTGGTGAGGCCGGGGATGAATCTGGCTTGAGATTTCTATTCCTCGCCCCCATGATGCTGCACTGAAACATTATCTAGCAGCAGCAGAAGCCGCCACTGGAGCAGAGCAAAATGAGAAGAGAAGTGACAAGGGTGGGGCCGTTAATCAGTCCCTTTGTCGTGAAAACCACAAAGCTGAATCCTTTGTATTCAGGGCTCAGTGTGGCCAGTTGTTTAGGTTTCTGTGCCTAACACATTTGTACTCGCAAGTTCTTTACTTAGCAAGATTAGGGGACTGTGTACATGACTAATTACATTACATTTTTGGGGCCAAGCAGGGTTTAGTTAGGGGTGATTCACCTTGCGGATTACCAAGCGCCTTCTTACATCTGCACTATGGTTTTGGATCAATGTAGCTACACCGAGTTGAAAGAAAGGGGATGAGGAACCTACTGTCGACAGAGTTCGGCTATGTATCCACTCCCTCTGTGTATTAAGAATAAAAAGCCTCACTTCTGCTTCCATTTCTCTCTTCTCCATTTGCCACTAGGCTCTGACAACAGCTGCACAAATTCACTTACTTTCCATCCTGAGCATCATCGCTCCGGTTTCTTCAAAGAGCGCTTTTGCCTCCATGTCAATACTTTTGATCCTGTTGCCGTGTGCTCCTGGTATTGAACTCTGTCCCAGCCGCCTCTTCAGCTCACTGTATTTTTGCTTTACTTGTTCAAATCCCTGTGGGAAAGGGAACGAGCTGTCAGGATGAACTCAAGCAAATAAATGAGGTTCAATCGATAAATGAATTCTAGACAATCTATTGCGGCTTTGTGTTATAAATGGCCGTTATTGCCATTATAGAGATATTAGCAGATTTATAGAGCCCTGCAAATCCATGGACTTCCACTTTTATATCCACAGGTATCTGTATGTGTGGATGTGGATGCGGATATCAAATTTTGTATCTAGAATCCCACAAATTTGCAGACGTCTGCTTTATATCCACAGGTGTCCATATCCGTGTATGTCAATGCGGATATCCACAGCTCATTTTTGTGGATACAGGTGAGGCCACAAATTTTGTGTCCACACAGGGCTCTACAGATTTACCCAGCATTGCCCAGGTTTGTAATTTGGGAGTTCCATCAAGTGTATTTTGTTTCTTCAGCCCTATAAACTCATCATTTGCTATGTTTTACCTAAAAAGGGCTATAGTCAGTTTGATTCCCAATAACATTGTCTTCTAGTTTTCAAACCTTACGCATTGATTTAGCTGTGCCAAAAGAGAGCACTACTCCAAATTTCTCCATTTTAGCTCTTTTCTGTAAGGTTTATTGAGAAGCAATCCTATTGCAAGTTCATTCTATTTTTCTGGCTCATCTTGGTTCAGTCTCTTTCAACATTCGCTCAGTTGTGTCAGTGTTGAGGACTGTACTTGCTTTAGAGATTTTGTCTCATTTCTGTTTGGTTTTATGAAAAGTAATCCCATTCCAGGCACATCCTGTTCTCCTGGCACAACCAAACCCTTACATTGCTTTAAGTTATAAGAAGAAGCTGTATGCTGAATTTGCTGGTCCTAGCTCTTACTGTTTAGGAGTTCTTGATCAAACAAACAGACAAACTCTCTAAAATGATTGTCGATTAAAGACCATAATAATTTTACATACTGGCTTCCAATGCCTTTATAGGAGCCAGTATTTCAGCATCATCTGGAATAATGTAAAGTACTGGTCACCCCATCTCAAAAAGAATGTTGCAGAAATAAGTGTTCAAAGAGCAATAAGAATAATCAAGGCAAATTCTCAGAGAGGTTAAAAAGATGCCAATATAGAAAGGACATGATAATAGCATAGCAAATAATGAGTGCTTTAGAGGAGAGAGAGAGAAAGAGTTCTCTCTATTTCATTGCACCAAGAAGGAAACATTCACTGCAACTGAGAAGTGAGAAATTTAAAACCGATAAAAGAAAATTCCTTCTCACATGTGT